TTTATCTCGTATATATAAAGCAAAATAATTGTCTTGCAATATCTAATATATAATATCTTCAAAGCTATTTCAAAATCAATACTATTTTGTATACATTTTGATATTTTCGAAAACCGATCAAAGTGTCTAATTTGGGCAATCAGAGCTTTCAGCATCATATGTATCGTTACGTCTTAATTAAATTAAACTCAAATTTGAAGGTTTGTGTCCTCTAAATAATATGGATTTTTATTAATGAAACGATCTACACATCATATCACAGATTTAATATGATGAAGTGCTGTGGAAAGATCGGTTAAAAGATTCAACAATAGTTTAAAAAAAAACAATCAATAAAAAATTTTAAAATAAATCCAACCGGAGAAAGTGGATCTGATTAGCCATAAGAAAGAAGATATTAAAAATTTGACAAACCATGACAACAAAGATTTTAGTTATATGGGTTCATTATGAATTTGTTGCTAGCTCAGGCTGGGCGAGGTAAACGATAAAAAGTTTTTTTAAAAGTCCTGTGACTGAAAAATCAAAGAATTTTTATGATAAACATAAACTCCCTCAGAGATAGATACTAAATTACTGGTTCATTACAAAACTATATAGATATACTCTATTCTATACTAATTTTTTAAGTTATTACAAATATTTAAATAAAAAACTGAGCACTAATGGTTATATTAGAGTAAGTTTGTACTATTTATCTTCATTCACTAAAAAGTTATTTCTATATAAAGATAACTGTAGTAAAAAGTCATGCCAAAATAACACGATGTTTGTCTTTACTGTTGACTTGATTCCTTTGTATCTGTCGGTGGTTTTTAACCGTGACTTTAAAATCATGAGCAATCCTTTGGATTCGGTCCAAATGGTAACAAGTGTTCGATAAAATGTCATAGATCAGAGAAATTAGCTAAACGAAGCCTTTTGCATGACACTTGTATCTAACAATTGCTTTTGATAAATTTGCTATAACAATATTTAATAAATAAAATATTCAAGACACTAGACATCATTTGCTACTTATACAAAATATAATATATCTTTTCGATTTTAAATACTAAAGGTGAAGGCCATTAAATGTATGGAAAAGAGAGGCAATTTACTGAAAAGCATAGAAAATCCTTTAAAATAAGAGTTTGTAAAGTAATTTTTGTATATTTTTAGTTAAATTATTGCAAAACAATCTTTAAAAGTTGACTTTTTTTAAAATTATTAATAAGTTTTCTAAAAATTTACAAAATAATTTTCACTTACTAGTTTTGAAGAGGAAGGCTTATATTATCAAATTAAATCATCTGTGTCTGTATCTGTAGAGTAGCGAGGGCGAGTTAAGTTCCACAGCATTTAGGTCACAATTGACCCATACTGCATCATCCCAGGGACCAGTCGTCCTTAGGTCATTTTCCATCTTGCCATTTCTAGGAAAGTGGACAAGTCAACAGGAAGCATTTCCCTTATGTTAGCAGGTGTGGGCTAGGACTCGCCGAACGCGTACTCTCGTATTAACGGTAACTCCAGGCATTCATATAGGACATGCTCTACAGTTTCGTCTTCTCGTTCACACTTCCTACATAGATGTGTGTCTGCTAGCCCTAGTGTGTGAAGGTGTTTGCTTAGTTAACAATGACTAGTTAAAAAAGCAACTGTCAAGCGTAGGTTTTTCCTGGTCATTCCCAAGTACTTCTTTGATGCTGACTTTTTAAGGTTACTTATTGTTACCCTGGAAAGTCTAGATCCTTGCCCTTCTTCCCATCTATTTACGGTTTGCGCATGGGAGTGATATTTGACAATTTTCGCGGTTTTTGTAGTTGACCAACCGAAAAGATCGCCAGGTCCTAAGAGTCCTAGGCCTGCCGTCTTCCTAGCCAATTGGTGAGCAATGCGGTTGCTTTATTCTTATCGTGTTTATTAATCCACCTTAGGATGATGGTATTACTATTCGAAGCTTGAGTTAGGGACTTGTGACACTCCATTACTAACCCTGATGTGATACGAAGTCTATTCAAGGTTAGTAGCGCTTGTCTGCTATCTGTGCAGAATATTATAATTTTCTCGGCTTAACCTTCCTGGGTTATCTCTTTTGCGGCTAAGGAGATACCAGCCAGTTTTGTCTGAACTACGCTGGCATTTTTGCCGATACCCCACTTTATTCTTAGGTTCAGTGATCTGGAGTATCTCCCGTATCCTAGGGTTTTTTCCATTTTGGAGCCATCGGTGTATATGCAATAGACATTTTCCATGTTTGTCTCCCTATACTGTTTTGTTTCGATTTTATAGGGTTTGTCAAAGACAAACTTTGTGATCTAAAAGGGGTGAAGCACAATATGGCCCATTTTATCTTTTGCGCACTAATCATTTTTCATTCTGGCGAGATGCCAGTCATTTATTAAGGGTATGAGTGCTTCTTCCGTCCAGTTTGATGTTGTTCAGGCGCTAGAACCGGCTAAGTGTGTTTTCATCAGGATCTCAGCACTTTCGCTAAGGTTGGAAATTTTGTTTCCATCTTCTTTCGTTAATATGCTGATGTGGATCTTGAGATGAGATGTGAGATGATGAGAGTGCTTTTTGTAGCCTAGAAGCCTACAGGAAATCTTCTATTTTTCACAGAAGGTTCTCCAAGCAGCTCTTTGTATTTTTCTGCAGACTTTTTTAAACTCTCTGAGATTTGATTGATAAGGATTTCAATCATCTTTGAGTTTGGTGCGTTTTGCTCTATTAAAAGCTGTTGTTGCTAACTTCCTAAGGTGTTAAAGTTCAGTGCACCACCTAGAGTTGGTTTTGCGACTTTCCTGGACCATACTTACTGGACAGGATTTTTTATAAGTATAGCTTGTTTTGTTTTGAATAGATACCGTATATCTTTCCCATTCTGTATTATTTCTTGGAATTGAACCCTTTTCATTCCGCAGAGCATCTTCTAAGAGTCGGTTGTAGAGTTGTACATCCGTCCTCCTAGGGTCGAGCAATTTGATAAGGCTTCTTTCTAGACTATTATTATATGTTAGCCAGCGGTTGGAACGTTTTAAAAATTACCAACAGATATTATGATGTACTGAAATAAAAATGGCGGTTTTACGTAAAAACAAAGCTACCGTAATGTAAAAAACTACCGACGTAATTTGATGTGTTTTTAGAAAGAAACCTTCTCTTTTACCATACATAATATAATGTATAATAAGTAAGTAACAGTGTCAACATTTTGGTAAGTTCATAAGGAATGTAGTATTTTATTGTAAAGAATGTTTTTCTTGATTGCAAAATTATTATCTAAAAACTATTAAACCGATTGTAACGAAATTTAGCACACGTGTCATTCATATTATGAAGTTTTTCTAGGCGGAATATACAGGCTGTATGTTATAATTTAGGGGTAAAATATTTAAAGTAGAAACTCGATTTTTTTAACAATAACCATTTAAATGTTCAATTTATAGCTAGTCATTACATTGTATAGAATTTAAAAACGAAACTTTTACCTTATTCGAACGAAATTTTTATTTTGATTGATTTTTTTTTATATTTCTCGAGTCATAGGCAAAAATATGGGCGCGAAATGCAAAAATTTTTAAATTTTTTTAGGTTTTGTTAAATAAAAAATTAGGCACAAGGCTTGCGACTGGTGCATACAGTGATTATTGATACAAGGAACACGTATCGGTTTGATTTTTAAATAAAAAATTATTTTTTTGTAAAATTTATTGTTAAAAGATATTATTTATATCTATAATACATAATTATTTAAGTAACCTATCATTTTATAACCTTTTACACTAATAGTAGTGAGAGAAAACTAAGATTTAGCAAAATAAGCATTTATTTACATAAAAAAACATCAATTTTCGTTGATTAGAACGGGGGATATTGCGACTTTTATAATTTTAAAAGGTAAATTCGGGTTCTAAAGGTCGTAGGATATTGTATTTTTTATTTTGTGTGATATTGTCCCCATCCTCATGTAAAATTAAAGTTTTTATGCATTTAAAAAAAAATATAAATAATTTTCAAAAAACCGACTTTTTGGAGCTATTTTTGCAACAAATTGCGCAACAAATTAACAAAAATAATTTTACAAATCTTCTTCTTCTTCTGGTAGCACTACAACCCGGGGTGGGTCTTGGCTGACTGCACAACCTGCTTCCATCTCGAACGGTCGTCCATGATGTTTAAGTCAGTGGGTAGCCCCATTGTTCTCAAATCTGACCATATATTATCTCTCCATCGCATTCGTGGACGTCCTAAGGGCCTTCTCCCTGTCGGGACTTCTTCCCAGATTAACTTGGTAAGGCGGTTATTAGGGAGCCTATGAACATGGCCAGCCCATTTTAGACGTTGGGATTTAATCTCTTGGACTACGTCGCTAGCACTATACTTTTGTTTGATCTCTCCATTTGTTCTCATTCGGTATTGGTCCATTCCAATTTAACAAATGGTCATTTTTAAACATTTTCTATGCTTATATTAAAATATTGTCACTTTTCTTTATTCTTTATATTTCGCTATAATTTACTGGTCTACACCTTTAGTATTTAAAATCAAATAGCGATCTTACATTATTTATATAAATGACGTTTTTTAGTTTATTTATTTATTGCATATTGTTATATTAAAGTGTCTTGGAAAAATCGTTTTTTCCCTTGTCTATTATGACAAAATATTATGACAAAAAACGTAAATGTTAATAATATTTTCAGTATATACGTTGTTCTATTTTTTTACTTTTTTTTTATTATTTTGAATAAATTGTTAACTAATATTTAAACATTTCAAAACTGGTTAAATATTGTCCGAGCAAATAAAGGTGACAAAAAAAAACCTTTACGCCGAACATTTTCTCCAAATCTAGATCTAGTAAACCTAGAAGGTAGTCCACTACATTATTTAGACCTTATCCTCAGAATTGTGTCTCTTTAACACTATATTTTTTGTCAATTGAGTATATTTTTCAAAGAGGAAATGTGGTAGTATGTCACAGCTAACTGTCCAACAACAACCAACACACATACCTCCACGAGTGTTCCATAAAACTTACCTGGATCGCTGGAGAACAAGATGGGAGGTGGTAGATTGGCGTTTCCGAACCTGTGCCTGTTATGGCGTGTTCCATACAAATTCTGGTTGAAGAGGTGCAGTACAAAACATATAAGACCGGATAAAATAGCGATTCCCGACATTACGCCGGCAAAAGTGGAGAAATCTGATGTTATAACAACGACATCTGCATAGAAATAAGGGAAACTGTTGTAATACACAAAAAGTTTTTTGTACAAGTTATTTATTATATAGAGATTTGGAAAATTACCTTCTGCACAGAAGACTCTTTTCGAAGGTTTCTGTAAAGAAACGGTATGGTACCCATTTTCACACTGACAAACGGCGTTGTGGTGGACTTGGATACAGGAAGCGTGTTGGTCAGTAAACTGACAGGTTTCTTTATAATAACATTGGTCACCCAGTTGTTTTGCTAAAAGAGATTAATCTATTAAATTTCTAATAACGCCAGAGCCACCATGATACAAGAAAAATGAATAACAATTAATATAGTATAAGAAATTCAAATGAGCTAAAGTATGTTATCAGAAGTAGAAGCTAAAATATAAAGCTGAAATACAAAATGATCGTTTAACTTACGCTTGCTACAGCCTGCATAGCGATTATTAAGTTTAACAGGGTACTTCTTCTCACAGTCGCAAGTACCCGTAACGGGATTACAGTAAACGTGAAGCAATTTCGGACTGCAGGTAAATTCGCATAAGGCACCCACATACTGCCCTTTTTCTGCTGTAACAAACCCAAATATTAATAAATTTATCAACGAACACTTAAGCTAGAAAAGGATATAAGTATTTTAGAATTATAGTACAAACCGCAGGCGCAGTTAAAACCCAGTGTCTTACGGAGGGCAGCGATGCCGCTCATGTCGGCACAGTGGTAGGTGTGTGGTAGTTTGGCGATAGACTGAGAAATCAGGACCGTACGCGCTTCGTTTTAAAAATCTTTAATTTTATGAATTTAACTGAGTCAAATAACAGAATAAACAATAAAAAACAAATTAATTCTATAAAATATGCCTGCATACATAAAATCACTGGGGGACAATGGAGTAGGATGCGAAAATATGGAGTTGATTTCATTATACTCCACTTACCATCTTCTACTTAAATCCGACTCTCACCTTCACCTTAGTGTCTCCTATTAAACCGGGCAACCCAACTAGATATTCGATAAAATCCACAAGGAAAAAAATTCCTGTAGCTGGCTGTATACCACGTATCACAAAAAGAGGTTAGGCTTTGTAAATGGGTATATTTATTCAAAAAACCCTTAAAAGGGCTACATCAATAAAACAAACGTTTTCGGACCACACAGTCCATCATCAGGTTTTAAAATCGAAAATGCCTAAAATAGGTCACAATGCCTGCCTTTAAATTACATTTAGTTACAAAAGATTGTACATTGTGTTATAAAATAATTGTAATGTTCAGTATTAAATTAAATTTGACTAGAGGTAACACATGGCTGAATCGAGTTACCAGAGCCGGTGAGAGAGAACCTCTACACACGGAGAACAGCTGGGAACTGATTGACAAGATACTTATGAAGGATGATGAAAACAGAATGTCCATTTTATTTTAGGCATTTTCGATTTTAAAACCTGATAATGGACTGTGTGGTCCGAAAACGTTTGTTTTATTGATGTAGCCCTTTTAAGGGTTTTTTTTTAAATAAATATACCCATTTACAAAGATATTCGATATCCAACCCGGGTGGAAGGTTGGGTTGGCAACTGACAAGAGCGGGTGAACTGGTCCCACAGGTTGGGGGTTGGGCAGTGGGTTAACACCCCCGTCCTGTGAAAATTCTTCTGTTACAGAAACTTCAAAACAATCAGCCGGATGGATTTTTTGTCGACGACTTGACAACTAAATAAGGTTAATGATACTGGGCTATTTACTTGGAATGTGCGTAAGCTGTATAGTGAACTAAGAAGTCTGTCTGCACTCAATGAATATTCAGCAACAATATAGAACTTCAAGTGGACAGGTAGTTGTAGCCTTTTTTTTTCGTTTTTATAGAGGGGGGGGTCTGGAATCTTCAAAAGACATCTCAGTCCAGGACGCCGCCTGACTGACCTTAGTGCAGGATTCGTTCTTCGTACTCCCGGCGATAGTTCCCGAGGTACTTTAAAATGCCCTCTCGTCGCCGAGTCTACGCTGAACGCCTACCTGCTAAACCAGACCCTCCTCTGTCATCCAGCGATCCGGAAGCGGAATGGCCGCTGTAAGGCCGGCATCACTTCCGAAGCACTACCTTTATTCATTAATTCTCCATTCATACACATCCACACTCCTAGTTCGGCATCATTCTCAGAAGGGCATTTCCTCCTTCCCCACAGTCAAACTCACGCATTCTAACTCAAAAAGTGTGACCCATTGTTTTAACTTCACCTTTCAGCATCATTCACTCTACCTTTGCCGTTGGTCCAGCTGTCTTTCTTCCTCTTTCTTTTTTTTTTGATCACTGCACGGATATAACTGTGTATGTTCTTCTTCTTCAGGTGCCATCTCCGCTACGGAGGTTGGCAATCATCATAGCTATCTTAATTTTTGAGGCAGTAGCTCTAAATAGTTGTTTTGAGCTGCATCCAAACCATTCTCTCAGGTTCTTCAGCCATGAAATTCGTCTTCTTCCGATGCTTCTTCTGCCATCTATTTTTCCTTGCATTATGAGTCGCAGGATGCCATACTTATCGCCCCGCATCACATGTCCGAGATACTGTAGCTTTCTTTCTTTAATTGTAAGTTCAATTTCCTTCTCTTTGCCTATTCTTCTCTGTGTATGTTAATCCAACCTAATTTATTTTCAATCATTCTCTCAATCATTTCTCTCACTGTAACAAAATTCACACCTGTCTCTCTCTCTCCATTCTGTTCCTTTCCACTATCCATCTGCTGCAATCTAACATCGTATGTGTCACAGTGTCCGAGTATCCACAATATAGGCATTTATCTGTATCAGCCTTACCGATCCTATAAAGGTAGGCCCTAAAACACCCGTGTCCTGTGAGCACCTGCTCAGGAAATAATCCAATCGCCTGTGGTCACAGTCCACCCAAACTCTTATGTTAGGGATCAGCATTTTCGTCCACTTTGCCACATCCTCCGTATTGTTCCATTCTTCTTGCCATCTTTCAACTGACCTTTCCCTTACCTGTCTTCTCTCAGCCACAGTAAGGTTTGGGCCTCTTCTCTCATACAGCTCTTTTCTTTCCATCGCCAAAACATGCAACGGAACACATCCAGTGATAGTCCATAAGGTAGTTCTAGCCTAGAAAAAAGACTACACTCTCCACTACAGCGGAGACAAAAATAATCATATTTTTGGTGTGGGATTTATATTAAATAAATGATTAAAATCAGAAGTCATACCTTTAGATCCAATAAGTCCAAAGATATGTAGAATCCGAATTAAAGGTAGGTTCTTTAATTACAGCATTATCAATATCCATGCTCCCACTAAAGATAAAGAAGACGAGGAGAAGGACATATTTTACGAGAAACTGGAAAGCCGGCCAAGAGATTATTTACCGACTCGCGATCGGCGAGCATAGTCTTCATGCTGTCAGCAACCAAAATGGTTTACTTCTTATTGAACTCGCAGCGTCATTGGGAATGGTGGTAGTAAGTACATATTTTCCTCACAAAAATATCCACAAAACCACATGGCAATCACCAGACGGTCAAACAAAAAACCAAATTGACTATGTACTAATTATTGATAGTCGACATTTCTCAGACGTACTAGATTTAAGAGCATGTAAAGGTACTAATATAGACTCTGACCAGTACCTTGTAAGAACAAAACTTAGGACTGGTATATAAAACGCTAAGAAAGGAAAGAGCACAAAATCTACGAAATATATCATACTGATGTGCTAAAATCTGAAGACGCTGGGGATAATTACAGGAAAATTTTAAATGAAGATCTGACAAGAATCGGCAAAAATTTAAGTATAGAACAACACTGGACCAAATGCTAGAAAGCTATCCATACAGCCGCTAAAGGCTTTTTAAAACTTAATCATGCTAAAATAAACGAAGATTGGTTTGACTAAGAATTTAGATCCATTAACTAACAGAAAAATAAAGCATATAAGAAGCTACAGCAGCACAGAACGAGATCAAACCTGAAGGACTATGAAAATCTTAGACGAGAAGAAAAAAGGACGTTTAAAAAGGAAAAGAAAGCCATACGAAAACGCTTTAAACGAGATTGTTAACCATTACAATAGAAAAGACTCCCGAAAATTCTACTAGAAGATAAACAGCTACAGAAAAGAATTCAAGCCCAGAATAACAGCACGTAAACACAGAGATGGTTCCATAATTAGTGACAACGAACAGATACTAAACAGGTGGGCGAATAATTTTAAAGAACTGCTTTAGTCGTGAAGAAGACCAAATAGAATTTACTTTGCCTGAAATAAAACCCTGGATTTGCCTGGATAAAAACGCTTAAGATCCGCCTCTACTTAAGAAGAAATTAGAGAAGCCATTTAAAAACTGAAAAATGACAAAGCCTCTGGTTTAGACAATCTTCCTGCCGAACTCTTTAAAAATGGTGGTGACACCCTTTTTAAATACATGCATAATTTAGTAACCTAAATCTGGCAATGGAAGGAAATGCCCGCAGACTGGAAATTAGGTGTGGTGCATTACACTCTTCACAAAAAAGGGAGATATAATGGTGTGTGATAATTATAGAAGCATCACTCTACCTAACGTAGCATATATGAAAATATATGCTACGTTAGAAATGCGAAAAAATCTTTCCACAGTCAAGATAATTGCTGATGTTACAAAAGAATATAGTGAGTAAAAAAAATTTAAGAAGCACTATAAATCAACAATATCATTAAAGAAAAAACTGGCTTATGAAAATTTTTTTTCCAATTCTGAAAATATATCTCGTGATAGTTGGAAAGTTATAAATTATCACAGAAATAAATTTCAAAATAAAAAAGTCTGTCCAAGCGCGATTACATCAAACGATTTCAATAATTAGTTTACTTCAGTGGCTAAACATATTAGAAGTTCTTTTAATTCTACAAATGAAAATGTAGCCATAGATTTTTTGAAAGATGTACACTCTCCTTGCAACTCTTTATTTTTATTACCTGTTAGTGATACTGAAATCAGGAATGTTTTGCATATATTGAAAAATTCACACTGCACGGATTTTTATTTCTTTAACAAAAAAATAATTGTGGAAACAATCGATATTATTATTGACAAATTATTATACTTTATAATAATTGTCTTACTGAGGGGATTTTCCCAGATGTTTTAAAAGTAACAAAAGTGCTACCAGTGTTCAAAAAGGGAGCTTTAGATGAAATTGGAAATTACCGTCCCATCTCAATCATTCCCATTTTCGGCAAAATTTTTGAGAGTATTCTAAATGTTCGTTTGGTAGAATATCTAAAAAAACACAAAATACTTCACTGTTATCAATATGGCTTTAGAAAAAAGTGTAGCACTACACTAGCTATACAGAAAATTGTGAGAGATATAGTTGATGGCTTGGAGGAAGGTCATTTTGTGTCTTTGACATTGTGTGACTTATCCAAAGCTTTTGACTGTGTTTTGCATGAATTACTGAAAAAATGCATAAGTACGGTATTAGGGGAAACACTCTTCATCTATTTAGATCATACCTAACAAATAGAAAACAGGCAGTTTCTCTTAATAACAGCTATTCTGAGTTTAACACTGTCGAAT